TATTTCCTTTTATGATGTTTCCAGAGTGGGCATGGGAAATTGGCGAGGCAGATGACATTGTTGATTGCTTTCTGTGATTATCTGGGAAACTGCATTAAGGTCCTTGTTTTACAAGGTTTTGTCATTTCTTTTTATGACAATGTGTTGAATGAAATAAATTGTAATATCAATTTGCTTTTTGCATGATGGTCTTCGTTTTTAGGATGTGGTATCGGCTCCTAGACCGAATTGCCCGCCTGTTAGAAGGATAACGGCAACAAAAGATGAAGAAGACAATGCTTTGGAATATGGGTTGCCTTCTCATACTCTCAATACTGTATGCTTATCTGGGTATGGACGTTTCCTATTTACATAAACCTTTTGGTTTGGTGTCGGTGCGAGCTTTTGTAGTTCAAATTTTATCAGTAAGTTCTCTACAGGACTTTGAGAAAAACGGATATGCAGTTGACGCTATTAAACCGTGTAGGAGGTCTTTTGAGGATATCTACAGGGGGGTGATTGTGTCTTGCTTATTGCCCTTGAATATTTTTCAGAACACCTAGAAAGTCATATGCGTCAATTATTGGGAACGTAATATATATTCTTGGCAAATTCATAATTCTCATGTGTTGGTAGGACGGGAAAACAAGACAAAAACTAAAAGAAGAGCTGTGGGAGGTCTGATGTGTTGTCAGTCCTCACAATAAATTAAGCACTCTTCTATGTTTACTTGTCAACTTATCAGCAGGTATTTTCCAGATTCCTTGTATACTACGTTCTATCCTACATAGAGAGTGAAAATGCTTGTGTGGAACTTGTTGCAGTCACTGTTGCTTACTTGCTTGTGGGCCTCATTGGTTTCGGTAGGTTAATTTTCTTCAGAAGTTCTTGGTGTTACTCTTGGCTTTCCTTATTGCAATAGTCAGCCAAATTTTGTTTCACTGGTGGGAAGGATATAACATGGCATGCACAGCTTAATTGATATCACTGTCGGTCTCGTCATTGGGTTGGTGATTCTTGCAATGTGGCTAACAATCTATGAATGTGTGGATGAATTTATTGTCTCTGGACAAAATGGTAAGTAAACCTTGATTCAGAACATTTGTGCTTCCATAGGCCGAAAGAATCTGTCTGAGCAGCTTGTATTGTCATCAAACCAGGGATTCGATAGTCATTTCTGTATAAAGAGGAGACATGTATGCCTTAACAAAGTCTAGCTTGTAGTTCCTGAAAGATGGGAACTTTTAGGGATAGTTAAGTCCATCTTCTATTTCTCTGGCCTTGGTTCCATCAATTAAAATGACCAGTGGCCGTTCTAACTTGCAAAATATGATCGGTAATCTTAATACTTGAAACATAATTATGCTTCTGGTTCTAGTTGAATGTTGAAACACAATAAAGATATTCTATATTGTTTATGCTTACTTTTCCTTCTGTAGTTACATCGTTTTGGGCTGCCCTGAGCTTTCTCTTACCTTTTGCTTATCCCATGCCTGAGTTGCCAACTCCAAGTTTCGAGTATCATACTGCCTTTTACGGTGTTGCATTTGGAATTGTAAGTAATTGATCACCCATATAGCTCTGATATAATTCTTAGCTACTTTCACCAAAATTATTGTAGGAATGCATTTTTGATGAATTACTTTCACCTTTAAAGCTAATTAACGATATCAAATGCAAAAAGTAAAAAATCATAAGCACATAGAAAAAACAAATTGCTATCCGTGAGAACTGAGATTCATTGCTTTCATCTAAGAAAAGGAAATTTATGCCTTGAAAATGTCGAAGTTGATCCATACTGTTTTTGTGTCCCATCATTCGCTTGGATGAACTTCAAGCTTGACAAACAACTATGGTTATGGTTAGAATTATTTAGAGGTGAATTTATGGTATAAAATAGCTTATAGAATTACCACATTACACACTTATCTATTGTGTACAATAAAAATTAGATTTGGTTAATCAAGTTCTTTCAGGATCTTTGGATTTGCATGATTTAGCACACAAAATAGAATTTCCCGATCTTATGCTCCAAAATGCCTATGCTTAGATAGCAAATCGAAATTTCTCACAATTCCCGTTCCTGATGGCATTAGGGAGTGACAGTTGCTGTGTCAAGATATTTTCTGTAGCTGTTGTATCATTTAGAAGATGCATCAAGAGTAATTATAAGCTGGGGTTGTGCATCTTGAGTCTTGACAAATAATATAGGCATGAATAAATGGATATCGACACATGCCAACACAGAAAAGATGAAGCAAATTCAAGTAGAAGAAACGTATTTAAGTAGTTATGAAGATGATGTGGTTGGTGTTATTCAAACATGTCGCATGGTGTTTGGTACCATTATAACCGTGAACTACACTATAAACAAGTTCTTTACTTTAAGCCTGTATTTCTAGAAACTCGAAATTATACATAGTCATGCATGTTACTTCCTAAGTGAGCATCATTCATTGATAGAAACAAGGTACAATATTTGCATTTGCATCAATAAAATCAATTGATCCTTTCCATTCAACTTCTTCCACCAACCGAGATGAAAGGTTTTGGATTGACATTCATCAATGTAACACTTTAATTGTTAATGTCGAGCAGGTGGCTGGGATTCAGCAGACATACCACCAGTTCCACCATGAAGCCGTTCCACGAATATTTACCTCTCGACTCACGACTCCTGCTTTTTTGGGAAGAATATTTGTTGGGATACCAACGATCCTGATCGTAAAGTTCTGCAGTAAGTCTCTTGCGAAATGGATTCTCCCGGTAGTATCAAACACGTTGGGTATCCCCATAAAATCAACCAGCTATATTCCAATGCTTAATGGTTCAACTACAGAGAAGAAATCTAGTGAGATTAAGTAGTCAAGCTATATCCAGAAGACGTTATTTTTCTCTAACCAAGATTTATTCGATGTAGACACCGGTATCCGCTTCCTACAATATGCAGGCCTTGCGTGGTCGGTGGTAGATCTTGTTCCATCCCTCTTCTCTAACCTGAGATTGTGAAGCTTGTCCTGGGTTTGGTTCTACGTGATTTGCCTGTTTTAGTGGCAGCGTGCAGCTTATTTGTAAATTCATGATTTATCTGCCTGTTTGTTTGGTACTGAATTTGCCCATTTTCTTTTTGTTAATGAAATGGCCCCCAAGGGGTACGTAAGCATCTTTGTACGCCCCTCGGCTTTAAAAATTAGGGTAAACTATCTATCTGGTCACCCCTCTATTATTTAGTTTTTGTTTTGGTCACCTATTAAAAAAATAATCATCATGTTAACGTATAGATAATGTCATGTCAGCATTTAAAAATAATTTAACAATATCACATCAATATTATCGCTAACTTTTTAATGATAGACAATCAAAACAAAATTTTGTTAACTTTTTAATAATAGATAATCAAAACAAAATCCAATGTTAGGTATGATTTTAGAAAAGATAATAGTTGGGTGACTAAGGAATAGATGGGTGACCAAATAAATAGTTTACCCTAAAATTTGTTGGCATATTCTTCCCATTTGGAAGCATTTGTGGTCTTTATATTCTTGGGTAAACTACATGTTTAGTACCTTCACTATTACTTTTGTTTTATTTGTCATCTTATTATTTTTTGTTTCAAAATCATATATAATGTTATGTTTTGATTTTATTTTGATCATATACGTTAAAAAAGTAACGACGATGTTAACCTGTCACAATAAACTAATGTCACTTCACCATTGAAAAAAGTTTTAAAAATATCATGTCAGTAGTTTTGTTAATTTTTTAACGGATAGTGATCAAAATGAAATCAAAATGTAACATTATGTATGATTTTTTTTTAAAAAAAAAGAATAATTGAGTGACTGAAACGGAAAAAAATTAATAATTGAAGTACTAAATATGTACTTTAACCTAGATCCTTTTCAACTGCTTACGTATTATTCCTCTATTACTGCTCATTTACAAAGCACACCCTTTAGTTATTTAATGTATAAATTTCAAAGTTTAGTCCAAATCAGTTGAAACTCGCCTTCAACACGTTGTGTTTAATTAAATCATAAACAAATATAAGTTTAACAATTCATGTTAATTTTGATCTTTTTTTATGAAAAATATGAAATAAATTCACTTATTATATAATTAAAATACAACCTGGTCCGCCAAATTCTGTATGAACCAATTATTAATTCATAGCACATTATATTAAAACTCAAAAATATTTTATCATACCCTAAAGTCGGGATTACAATTTTAATTAAATTTAATTGGACCTTAAAAATATTTGATTTTGGAAAATCGGGGCTCAATTAGAAATTAAACCTTTTAAGGACTAAATTTGATGTTCCTGAAGCTGTGTCATACATGGGAATCTCAGTTTATTCAAAGGACTAAACTTATAATTTACTCCGTTTGAAACCACTTCTAAAAGAAATAAAGTTAAAAGAATATTTTAGACAGAATAGTTTTGCTGTGCGACATCCTAATTTAAGGCTAAAAAATAACGACTTTGGGATGCAACTGAAAATGTCATAAACCGAAAATGAGAATTTTTTTTATGAAAATCAAGAGAAGGATTTTGAGAGAAATTTTATCAGCTTGTTCAAAGCTGATAATTAATCAACAAAGTTCAAATTCCATTTTAACTAAAACCAAAAATGATAAAGGAATGATAATTTTTTTTATGAATCAAAGGTGCCACAAAGTAGATAGATCAAAGCAAGGATCCCTCCATCAAAGAGATTACCATATAACACAGGGGACCATGATCTACTTTTCCTACAAATACCCCTTTTATCTGTATCCATCGGCTTCTCGGGGGCGTTGGCCATCTCCATGACCTAAACAACAGGTAGCCGCCCGCTTGTTATTTTATGTATACAATCTTTGCCGATACCTTGAACCCAGCACGGATAGAGTTATTTCATGTGTGTGTACATAAACGGACTTGTATTTTTTATCTTTTCACTGAAATATTTGGTTGTATATGTTGTCATTTAAAATCAAGGGTGCATCACGACATACCTTAAAGTGTTAGCGTCTAGGCCTTGGCTGGAACCATAATTCAGCTAATAGTGAAATATGATCGGAGGACCACTCCGGAGAAGGAAGGGCTGTGTCTTTCCTCAAGCTATCCTCATCCAAGAGTTCCAGTAAAGACTCCACTGTTAAAGAGTCCGCTGAAAGCACAAAACTAACTATAATCAAATCATCATAGGAGACAAGAATCTAAGAGATAAAGGCATTCGAGATCTAATATAATTTGTATATGCATTATCCAATCATTCAAGCGTTTTAAAAGAATAACCCACCTGTGTAAAATATGTAATCCAGGGTGCCAATGAAATCTCTTGTGCAATTTGTGAATAAAGGTTCATTAGTTGTGATGTCCATTTTTCTTCTTTGATGTTCCAAACCAAGACCAGCACCTCTTGCAAAGGGTGAGTAGGCACTGACCTGTTCAAATAAACAAACTTTGTCAGACACCCCCAGAATAATGTATAACCCCGGTCTCTTTCTCCACTGAAGACTGTTTCCTTTATTTTCTTAAAAATCCTATCAAAACATTGTTAACAGTAATAATAGGGCAAAATACATAAGTTTTCTATTGAGGCAGTAAAGAGAGTTTACCAGTGGCAACTGATGAGTCAACTTGCTGTGAGGACGCAAAATCGCAAGAGGGTCTACTAATAATTCTGGATGTAATGGGTCTACCTTTCCCATAGCAAGAAGTGAATGGGGAGCACTGTAAAAAATATATTTAACTTTGAAACAATTTAATACAAAATAATGGATCTCAAGCACTAAACAATCTAACATTATGTAAAGGATAATAGTGTTACCTCCCAGGAACTGAATTAAAATCACCACACACCAACATTGGAATGTCTGCACTAGCAGCTATTTTCTCCAATCCCTTTAAGAGAGTATGCACCTAAAACATTAAAAAGAAAAAAAATGAATGACTATTTTGAAATATTGACACATTTATGTATAAATAGATTTACAGATCAAAGAAAAACTAAAACCTGCCAGATTTTGACATCCTTTAACTCATGTGGAACATTTACATGTGTGTTTGCCTGCATTCCAAAACCAGGAATAGAAGGAAAGTTACATGAAATGAAAGAGTTGCAAACAATATAATAAATATGTACACTGTCTTTAGTAAAGTCAACTTTCATGAATGTAAAGAACGACCCAACTTCAAGAAGAGAAGAGAACAATTAACATTTTTTTTATAGGAATTGAAGGCCTCGTTAAAAACCTCCTTCATGATTAAAGGAGCTTATAGAGAAGCTCCTTAATCAGCGGGAGGAGGAAAAGAGTGCCTTAAGATTTCACTAATCATTGGACAAAATTGGTTATTACAGTCTTTGTTGTCAAGACGAGTTTATAGTGGCAGACAGGCGGTTAATTGCTTGCTGTTCTGTATTCTTTTCATGTGGAAGCTTATGGCTTTTGTGTTAGAACTTGGCTTCTATCTTCTATTTTCGTTGTTTCTCTTGTGGCGTCTTTCGGGCCACGTTTAGGCTTTTAGTATAGTCAGTCTGTTTTTGAGAACAATTAACATTTCAATGCCACATTTAATAAAGATGGAAAGTAGTAGTCAAAGAGGCTAAAAGAACCCAAATGCAAACCAAATAAAAGAAAGAGAGAGCACAAAATAACTAAACCAATCTAATCCAATTGCCATTGGGTTAGTCATAATATAATATGCAAAAGTTTCTTGGGATTTTTATACTTCTAGTCTATGTTAGTCAAACTAGAGGGTATATGTGTTAGATACGAGAGTGTGTCAAACACAGGTATGGTCAGATTTTTCTAAGGTTTTAGATGGATTTGGAGGGTCCTTAAAAGTCATATCCCCATATCTATATGTCGGACATGGGTACTTTAACAAAAACAAAGAATCAGAGCAACATAGCTACCAATTGCTAGAATATGCTTATTGTTCACAATAAAACTTGCTATCTGGGAAAACTAAAAGACTAAAATCCTATCATTCAAATATAAGCATACTCAACCATTGAGTACATTACACCAGTTTTCTGCACCACAAACAGCCTGCTACCTGCAGCCTACAGAGCGATTCACTACTCAGAGCTAGAATCTGCCTACAGACCAACTAACAGGACTATATAGCAACAAATCACTCACTTCCATTTCTATAAAAGCAGCTATAGGCTACTTTACTCAAAGCTAGCCAGACCAAGAAAATTAATCCTCTTACAAGTAGTGCTAAACTTGCCTTTTTAAAAGGTTCAGTTAGAGATAGCATAAAACAGAACCCAGGTAACATAGCCCATTAGATGATTTCAAGACTATAAGTCCAAACATACTCCTAAACTACCCTTTTTTATTTCAAATCAGAGCAGCTTGCAGAATGATTAAATCATGTTCAACTTGCCAACAGCCAAATAAGAAACCCTTGATCAAAAAGCTTATCAATCACCACTAGTCATGTGATGTCATCTTTTACCATAAATAAAGCACGGAAATAAAATTACGTAAATTAGAGAACACAAATAGAGAAGGCCAGAGTAGCATAGAAGAATAAAAGAAACAATTCTTACCACACAGAGAAGCTGTCGCTTCCCAGGATTGTTAGCTACATGAGTAATAAACTTTGCTTCCAAAACCACAATTAATGCAACATTATCCTGCAAACAAAGAAAAATTTACATGATACTATTATAGAAGTATGTGCCGTAAGAGAATGGACATGGATCCAAATTAGTTATACTTATAATAGATTTATTACCCTAACCAAACGATTTAAAGCAGCTTTCTTCTGAGTAGTTTGAACTGCAACCTCAGTCAAGGATTGCGCTGCCTTATTAAATTCAACCTGCAAGACATGATTTACTTTAGCATAGAAAACCAAATGTATAAATGCGTACACCAAGTGAGGAATACTTCCAAACCTCATATTTTTTGAATGGGAAAATCTATCTCTACGGAAAAAAGTAGCACAGCCATCAATTGTATGTATATTTCCACCGTAAACCTGCAGAACAAAGAACATAAACTATACATAAGAGTAATGCCACTAAATCTTTGAGATGAGAACCTTGGGAGTTCTTAAGCAACCTCATTTGTCTTCCTCTTGTACAAAGCTTGATACCCATGTTTGTCCAGCTCAGGGGCAAAAAATTCCTCAAAATGGTCATGTTGAACCTAAAAAGATTATAACAGTTGATATTTAGCCACAATGTTCATCTAGATGACCAAAGGTTGAAGATGATTTCAGGCTAATGATGAGTTGAATGCACCTAAAGAAATTCTGGCCGACAAAACTATTTCTCACTTAGCTATGGGAAAACTCCATACTTTCTTAACAAAGATGGAGCAAGAGTGAAATAATTTCCTTATTAATATCACTCATCACCACTTCCACAGTTCCACTATTAGAAGAAAAAAAAATTAAGGAGGCAAATAAACTCTTTTAGGTATACATATACATATACAATGACGCTTTGCATCTAAAAGGAAAAAAAAGGATACAGTTGAGCATAGACCCGCATCTAATTAAAACTGAAGCAATTTGTTATCATGCACTAAACTTCAAAGCTGTTTTTCAGTTCAAAACAGAAGTTCTAAAGCATAGCTATCATCACTCGACATTCATCAATTATTAATTGAAAGTATTACCTCTTGAAGACAGACAATGTCTGCACGATAACCAACAATTTCACGCAACAAATTCTGTCTGCGATATGGCCAAGAAAGAGCCCATGATGGACAATAACTGTACAACTCACTGCTTGCATATGAGTCGGACAAAATGTTGTATGACAGAACTGTAAAAGTTCCAGAGGATGAAACACGGCCATCTGAATCAAGCTGCCCCATCATATCAGCTCCGCTTAGTGGGATCAAGCGCCGAGGAATGGGGGAAGGAGCAGGAATAACACGAGATGTCAAAACAGTAATGGGATGTCCAACATCTAGTTTCGTTTCTGCATCAACGACAACACACTCAAACTTGAGAACATGGCCAATATCATCTGCTGAGGGTGTATATGTTTTAGCGCGTCCAACTTCAAACCAGGTTTCACCACCACTCCTCTGTGTAACTGCAGCAGGATACAGAGGTATAGAACCATTTGTCAAGCTAGCGCTCGATGCTGAACCAAATATGCTAGAATTAATAACCCCAGACCCTGTGCTATTGAAACGGCCAAATATCTCTTCCTCCTCATTTCCATTTTCATTTCCAGCACTTGCAGCACGGTCATGCAGAACACGGTGATGCTGCCACGCATCTGAGAAGCACTTAGGAGAGCAATGGTAACTTTTAGCAACAGGTATTTTAGCTTTAACACAGCCTAGGCACTGCAATGTGGCCTGTTCAGAGGGATGTACACTACAGACAGCAACTTTTCTATCACTTTGTATGCGATACCTACGAAATGGAACCAAGAAAGGAACATTTTTCATTAGAGATGTAATATAAATGGAAAATTTGTAACAGTCAACCTATTATATAAGTTTTCACTAAATTCCCAGAAGAAGACAAATGAAAAGATCTTAAACCACAACAAAAGGTGCACAAGATGTAGCCAAGATATTCTCTTTTCCAGAATATGAATCCAGAAATAACAGTAAGAATGCATAATATCCTCATCAAAATTGTCTAGTGAAACTACAAGTTACCCAAAGTATGTGTCGCTCATTAACATAGTAGTCAAAGATTTGTCTTGTAGTGAACAAATCTAAATACGATCCAAGGAATAATCAATCAATTCAAATTTATATTACTAATTGCCACATGTAAACTGATGTCAAGGATAATGTTCTAGGATTTTTTGTGATTAAACAAATGGAAACCACCACTACAAGTTTCTATTACCTTCCAAGGCATCTCCCATAATGTAACTAGACTAACTTTCCACCCACGTTCAAATAGAAAAAGCATGAAATAGGCAATAAAATATTCAATGCCTCATTACCACCTTTTAACAGTTAATAATAGGAGATCATATGCATCCGCTATTGTAGCTGAATGATTCCTTCTTTCTATAACCAACAATTTATGTGTCGTATTTCTCA